TGAAAAATTAATGCGGCAAAAGAATTAAATTAATGGATAGGATATTTAAAAGTTAAACTTAAGATATCTATTAATATAAAAAAAAGAATTTCTATCAATTAAAAAAAAAGAATTTCGGCATTAACAAAAAAAAGTAACATTTTCTAATAATTTGATCAAATTAAGATATAGGTTAAAATTTAATTTTAAATATTTACATATTTTTCCTTCCTTTCAGCCATGTAAACAAAGGGAATACAAAAACTTCCATTTAAAATCTAAGATAAAATTATAAAAAAAGTTTTTGTATTCTCATAATATAAAAGCTATCAAGTATTACAGGAAACAACAATTTTATAAACAAGTTAACGAAAAATATAAAATCATGAATATAGAATAAATGTTAGCATCAAAATTGTTATAGACACATAAATTATGGAAACTAATAAATCACCTAAAATAAAACAACAAGAAAACAAAAGCAAATATATCAAAGCTATTAAATAATGGTACGTGGGTCACTCATAACTATTTCTAACTAAATAAAAGTGATAAGCTTTAATTATGGAAAAAAAATTAGCTTTTTGTAATAAAAAAAGTATTAATTTACATGATAATCTTGTATAATTTAAAATTAACATTTCATATAAAAGTAGTATATTAATATGAATAACTTCATTGAATGTGTAAAAGTAAATAAATAATTCTGCAATATATCTTGAAACTAGAACTAAAACAGAAAAAAAAAATTAGCAGGCAAATTTTTTCACTAAGCTAGCAGTAAATTTTTTTGGCAAATTATGTTTTCAAAAATGATTCATATCCAAGGTAATTGAGTTGCTCTATTTTTTAAACTAAACAATTGTTTATTTCCAACTTAAAAAGTAATGGGAAAAAAATCTTTTATATAATTGAGAAAATAAAATGAAAAATATTTTAAATAAATAAAACTTAAGAGCAATTACTAATTTAGTATTGTACTGATTATGAATCTTCAGAGTAAATGGCAATGGATTAGATATAACGTGTAAAGTCTCTGTACTTAGCTTATTTTTAAGCCAAATTTACAAGTTTCAACCTTCTAACAAATTGAATGCCTATGTGACGAATTTTCTGGATTTACTAACTAAAGGTATATCATTAGCAAATGATTATATATACAGCAAATACTATACTTTTTGATGAATTAAATGTTAAACATTTTTAATTCAGTATGTACTTTCTTTTTTTAAAAAAAGTAAAAAAGAACAATAACAAAACAAAAAAACATTCTAGGAGCGAGTAGAATTATAATTATATGCAAAAGCTTGTTAAATTCTTTAACGAATTGGATAAAAAATTATGAAGATTTTGAGCTTATACAGGGTGATTCTAAAAAGATGGGGAAAATTTTAGGAAGTGATAGTACACACCCGGACAAACAATTTTTATCAAAGAATGCATGGTCGAAAACAAAACCCAAAACCGCTAGAGGGCGTCAAAGTTTATGTTCTTATATGAGGCAAAAACACATAAAGAACGACAAAGTTAAGTTATAAAAGCAAATTTAATGGCATGCGATTACAATAAGTGTTCAAAACAGTGGCCGGCAGTGGCTATGCTGGTACAACGACGAAGAAAAGATAGGCAAACTTTCTCTGCAGTGGCCGAAAGCTTGGCGACAAATAAAGTAGCGCAGTAACTCGGAGCTTTCTTGTTTGCATGAAAAAAACTTTCCAAATGCGCCAGCACCTTTGCGTTTTGTTTTCGACCATGCATTCTTTGATAAAAATTGTTTGTCTGGGTGTGTACTATCACTTCCTAAAATTTTTCCCATCTTTTTAGAATCACCATGTGTATAACTTAGGCAACCAACAAAATTATAAAAATAAATATACATGTTTTATTATGTAATCAAAGAATTTGTTTAGGAAGAAAAAAAAAATTTTTTTTCTTCCTCAAACGACCTCAGCTATCCTACCTTAAATTAGTAACGATTTTTAAATATAATTAATAACCAACAAAAGCATTTTTTTGTATATTATTTTGTTTTATGCCTCCATATTATATGTAAAATATGAATACCTCTTTAAATACAAAATTTTTTCATATCCACTCATACTTTATTCTATTTTGAGTCATATATTTTGAAAGTGACTCAAAAAAGTACAAATATGCAATCTATTCATTTAAATCCAAAATAGAACTAACTTAAACATTGAATTTTGTAGTCTTTGAAATTCATTAAAAATTATAGAATGTATTTTAAAAATCTTGAATGCCCTTAAAAATGGAAAAGTGGAGGTAAAAAATTATTTCTTAATCAATTTCTAAAGAAATAACATAAAATATTTTTAAATTAATTACAACTAAGTTGTACATCTTTAAGAAAGCATTCAGTGACACAATATATATATATNTATATCTATATATATATATATATATATGTATTATATATACACAGACAGACACATATATAATCATAGCATTTATTAAGTCTAAGTATAAGCCAATATGCATGCCTTGGGATGAAAAAGGACACTGCATTGTTTATAATCAGCCTAAAAAAGAAGCCACTGGAATGCTCAAGGCTAATGTTTACTTGTTAAAAGTACAATACCATGATTCAAATTGAAACTAGTAATGTTTTTTTTTCTTTCCTCCATCAAGCGATTAACAAGAAAATTTCATAATTTAAAATTGAAGTTTATTGAGCAAAAGCGAAATAGAATTCTTTCTTGGGCTTTATTCAAAGGTATCAAAGATTTTAAACGAAATTGCATACAAATCACCTCACTCTCATGTGCATTAACTATACTTGACAAAAACTGTAATAAAACATTACAATTTTTAGTAATTGATTACAATTATTTACTAATTGAACTCTTATATATTTGGTTAATAATATTTTATCTTACTAGTATATATTACCCTATGTATACATAAGAGACACCAGAAAGGCAGTAGTTAAGGATTATGAGGAAGTAAGAATACAAATATAACACAAGACTGGTATATAGAAAATTGATATTTGAATCTGAATGTGCGGAGAAACAGCAATGCGAAATATTATCATAAAATTGTTCATGTTGGTTTTGTGATTGTCATTAGACTTACAAAATATGTTAAAGTCTAGGTTGTTATCTAATTCCGGACAAACCTTAAGTGAGAAACATGTTAAAAACCTTCATGTTTTAGAATTTTGGATCATCATTATCGGCATTAAGTATAAAATGTTTACGACAAACTTTTAAAAATTTCTTACAGGAAACAGAAAATTCTCAGAGCCTATTATTTCCCTAGAATGATGCTTTTTTTGAACATGATATTTTTCTCAAATTTATAGATTTTTTTTTTACGATTTAATAATTTTTTAAATATATTTTTAGAAAGTAAAGCTTGTATGTTGTTTATCTTTTTGATAATAATTAATTCTTTAAGGAAAAAATAATCTAACTTTGCACAATACTCGAACAAACCAGCATATCAGTTGAAACAGTAATAGAAAACTCCTGGATCAGTATTCCCAGAGGTATGATTTGTTATGGGAACATGGAGAACTTTGTAACTCGACAGATTTAACGTGATCAGCCACCATTTACTACACGGGGAGTCTTCGGCCGGCGGGGACCAACCAGGCTATCCTGGCTCTTATGAATTCACATTAGTAAATAACCAAATAAGGTTATTTGTGTTAGAGTTAGCATATTAGAAAATATTCTTTTTAAACAGTAAGTTAATATGGCATACATATAAAATACATTACAAAAAAAACTTTTAAAATGTACATTTTGATATTTAATTGATACCTTGCTTTTCCATTATTCTTATACTTAATTTATTTTTAAAAAAATACATTTTCAATTTGGCAACAAGATTTAACAATGTTCAAGCAGTCAGTAATCAAGTTAGTTTTGATTAAAAAAGAGAGAACAGAAGCAAACTCAACTAGTAGTTTAAAACAAATTCTTTTTTATCATTCATAAATGATAACATTCCTTTCTCTTATAAGCATGATGTTGATGAAATCCTAGCGAAATTATATTTTTCACTATTGAAATGTTTGGGAATTCTTTTAGAAGGTTTAAAGCTTTAGGAAAGTTAAAGGTCAATTATCATGGAACAATGGGTAAAATTGAACATTCCAAGAGTGGAGAAATGCAATTTTTGAAACAAGAAATTATTTTAAAATTTTTAGAAACTTACCAAATAAATAAAAAAAATTCTATAGTTTTTTTAAAGGCTAATTTTTTATTATACAAATTTTTGTTAAATTAAATGAAAAAATATTAAATAATAGATTATCATTTTTATAAAATATAATAACATTAACGAAATTTAAAGGGTGGAAGAAAATTAATTGCATCTAATTATTTTTCTTCTTCTCTTCGTTACAGTGATTCCTCAAGAGTTTGGGAACTAGGGGGAATTAGGATCCAAGATTTTTGAACTTCTAAGTCTTTTTTTTTTATTACTAAAAGAAGGTTCTCATTTAAAGTAATATAAATCTCTACTACAGACACTTAAAAAAAGCAAGAAATTTTGTAAAGCAACAAATAATTTTACCGTAAAAATTTTTATAGCAATTTTTTGCTTTAAATTGGACTGAAAACTCCCCTCCTTCATGAAATCGTACATTTTCTGCACTTCCTGATGCTTTTTACGCTTTTTTTTCGACTCAAAAAATTTATGCCAATGTTCTTAAGATCTTTTTCTACAAGTACTTCAATTCTTACAAATTTACAACAATGTCATTTAACACATTCTTCTTCATGGTACTTCAATTCTAATTTGCCGCAATGTTATTTCAGAAGATCTCATACAAAGTATTTCAATTCTTACAAATTTCGCACAATATTAAAGACATTAAGTATTCCAGTTGTTATGGACTGAATGTATGCTTAAAAAAAAGTGATATTACGAGAGTTTGACGACTACCCAAATGCATTCCAGTGGCTTTGAAAGCAGCTTTTAAACAGCAAAGATAAAAAAGCAAATGTGAGAGAAAAAAGCGTGGACAGACAGAGGGAAATAAAGCCTACCACTGCAGCAGCACTGGCTCGGGTCTGAGCAGCTTTCAGCTGTGCCTGTAAATGGGCCGGTGGATGGAAGTAACGACACTGGTCCCGAGTGCAGCGCCCCTTCACAAAGTCCATGCACACAGTCACTGTGCCCTCGCCACTATCCACTGTCACATGCTCGGGAGGGTGAGCAAAGCGGCACTCGCTCTCTGTACGCTTGCAGTTGCCACGCTGAAATTCACGGCACACCTGGAGGGAAGAGCAAAGCAGAAAAGCCACCATTCAGACAGTGCAACACATGAGAGTGGATAAGCAAAGCTTTTAATGTGGATAAAGCACTTTTAACCCCTTCAGATCATCCAACAGCCATGTTATAATACAAAGGGTGTTCTGTATTTACTGCCCTAAATATATGTTTCTGAAAATTTTCTCACAAGTCATTAAACTTACCTATTATACATTGCATCATCTGGAACATATCATTATTTAAGTATTTTAAGGTAATTTTAAATGCAAATTACTTAAATGCACCTAAATAATTCGTATTAAAATTTAAAAATATTAAAATTATCAAAGCATTATCAAATTATCAAGAGATTAAAATTTTCAAAAGAGAGAATTAATCATATAAAAAAATTTATCAATTTTGGTTTAGAGATTGATACCTCTCAGCAAGCAAGTTTTCTTTAAGCTTGTGAACAGTTAGTGGATTTTGCTCGATTTCAGAAATTTCGTCAGAGTGATTTTCATTTTTTTCAGCTGCTAAGTTAGTGTGGTTTAGAAACTAAAAAAAGTTCAAGATTTTTATTTTTATCATCTATAAATGGAAATAAAATGCAAAATTATATAACACTACTAACTACAAACTTGAATTTGTTGCAATATTTTGCCTTTGTGACGGACGTTAAATATAAATTGAATATAAATTTTTTATTATGCTAGCAACATTTTCGTATTCCTTTTTTTGAGTAGTAATAAATATTTAATTAACTGGCAACTTATAAATGAATAGTATAAAAATTAAAAATCTACATGATTAAAAAAAATGAATATTTTGAATTGATTTAAAAATAAAAAGTGATGAAATTTGAAGTTTATTGATTTTGTAAAATTTGAGGGAATTTTCATAAACATAAAAAAATTGTGAAAATTTTCAATAAAATAAGAAGATTGAGAAAAACCGGGCAGAAGTCAGTACTTTTGGCTTTGTAAAAGGAAATAGTTATGTAACAGAAAACCTGGCTTTCAAAAAAATTTTTTAAGGATTGTTGAACAAAATTATTTGATATAATTAGAATATTTTGATATAGTTATATAAATATTTTGATATAGTTAGAACATCAAACATGAATTAATTTTTTTAAAGACTGTATGGAAATCTGAAGGGGTAAGAAAATGAAGTTTTTAGCCATTAAGCCTTGATAAACACCACTTATGACTATATAAAGCAAAGGTGAAAACTTTATAGAAAAGCTTTTACCCCCAAAACATTTCAGTCATTACAGAAATATGAAGAAAAATATAATTCTAGATAAAGATACAGAGAAACCATTGTGAGAAAAGTAATTATTATTTTGCAAATTTAAACACAGATAAATAATTCTTAAAACTGAGCTGTTATAGCTGTTACAGGAAGCTCATATACATTCTTTCATCACTAAAAATAAATACTTTACCTATTTAGCTCAACTAACTCACACTTGCCGAATTTTTATGATTAGATAATTAGTGCTCATAATAATTTAACTTAATAAAAACATTCAATAAAATATTCTCATTCCTAAAAATTTCAGTTTTCAATGAATAATGAAGAAGCAGTATAATGCATATTTAATTTTAATATTATATAGAACTGTAAACAGAAAACTTTTATGCCATACAAGCAGAGTAAGCATAATGGATCTATGCAATAATTAGACCTTGTATTGTAATCTATAAAAACAAAGCATTATATTGAAAAAGTAATTATTAAAAAAAAAAAAGAAAACTCTTACTCTTAGAAAAATATTTTTCAATTTTTGAATAATTCTATTTAAGTTAAGGGCAGTGAGTTACATAATTTAAATAGAATATGCAATACACTTTTTCACCTTATTATAATATTTTATATTAATATGAAATACAAACCAACCTTCAAAATAAGGATAAAATTTGGACAAGAAATTTTGCAACATATAATTTTGTTTTTTGTTTACTGCTGGCACAAGATTAAATTTAATATAATAAAAATAAATCTGAACAACTTTAACATACATTCTGTATTTTGAATACTGCCTAGACTGCATAGAACATAGACTGCAGCTGAAGCAGTTTAAATTATTGAACCTGCTGATTAACTTTTCCTGATGTCTATTATGAGAAACAGAGGGTGTAGCACAGATTGAGAAAAATCTTTTTTACTTAAAACATAATTTAAGCAAGTGAACTATTTTTTTCCTAGTAAATAATCATAATTGGTATTCCATTTATTAACATCAAATTCTACAGTATAAATTTTTTAAAAAAATTTCTGTTTTTACCTACGCTAGTTCTTTATTAATTTATTGTAAAACTAATATATGTGGCCAGATGAATTAGCTTTTAAAAAAGAATATGCTTTTTTGGAAGAAAAAAAAATATCCATTAGCAAAAAAATAAATAAATAAAATTTCAAATTAACTTTAGTTCTAATTATTTATTTAAAACATTTTAGCACCATCAATAAAGAATATGTGAATATAACTAAAGTATAATAACTTTACTATAATAACTAGCTGTTTTGAATCAAGAAAAGGTTATAAAATTATAATAGTAATGAGCTTATATTTTTGTTTTCAATAAGCTGTTTAAAAATATTCTTCATCTGAAGTACTCATTCTTTTTATAATTCAAATTTCATATATTTCTTACTAAGATTTCACTTAAAATCAAATTTCACTTATTCCTTCACACGTTCCCACTCATCTCATTAAAAAATTATAGTCAAAACAATTCTAATCTACTCATTCTTTTAATAATACATTCTTAAAATATCTCACTTTAAAGAAGTAAGTATTTGATTATTTCAAATAATTCTACTAAGATATTTGTTCCCAGAAGAATTACCTTAAACAAGAAAAAAAAAATTTTTTTTCATATTAAATTCAGTTCAGATATAATTATTTATTTAAAACCTTTTAGTACCATCACCTATCACTAAAAAATAACTATTTTATAACCTGTATAGAATTATGAAAGTTGACAAAATAACGATAATTGAACAAATCTTTGAATAACTTCAAATTCCAAATATTTCTTTTAAAATATTTACTCATTCCATAGTTAAAAAATTATAGTCAAAAACAAGTTGGCTAAAAAGAAGATGGATGGTAATTCAGTTCCTAAAAAGGAATAACATTCCCTTAAAATAAACATACATATATACACACAAGCTAAAAAAGAAGGGTTGGGTTTTTGACGTCAAAAAGTGGTTTTTGACATGACAAGGGTATAATACTGGTTTAAACCGTCAAAAACCCGTCAAAAATGTCAAAAACTGAAGTTTGCCAAGAAAATATATAAACTTCAAAACTACCAACAGTTGCCATGCATTATATTGAAATTTAATTATACTATAGGTAATCAGCAGGTTTTAAAATATTTTTTAATTAAAATTAAGGTAAAATAACAGATTTAAAATCTCAGAAATTTATATTCAAATGCATGTGCAGAAAAATTTTGCACAAAAATTGTTTAAATATTTATATTTAAAAAAATTTTTTTTTTCTTTTTGATACTTAAGAAAATTAAAAGTTTATTACTATGCATTTTTGACATATAAGGAACATATAACTAATATTTATAAGGAACTTACAAGTTATGTTGTATAAATACAAACTTGATATAAGATACAAGTGTATAAAAAATTTTTTTTAATGTTATACCGAATATCTTTATTATCCAGTATGTTAATTTGAATTTAAAAGTAGTTATATTTATGAATAATGATAAATATAATTCATATTGTTTATTATATTTATTTATAATTATTACACTTATCATTTTAAAACAATTTTTATCTCTTAATTTTTTTTTCTCCACTTGTATTAAGAATACAAATAATGCATATCTTGAAAGCAAGAAGTAATTATTCAACAGCTGAATATTTAGATATTCAACAAAACTATATAGTATTCAGCAAAATGAAATTCACAAGTATTTGGATAAACTAAATTTTCAGCATAGTAAATGAATAGGCTGAATATTCTGTAAATCGACCCTAACTACTCTGTGTATTTAACAGAAAGCACTTAAATTTGTATTGTCTTATGTTAACAAAAGGTGTGAGTTTTTAAAAATACAAGATTTTGGTTACTATTCAAAATATAAGTGTTTCTGCAAAATTTTTAATTTATTTTTTCTATAAAATATTTAGGAACATCTTTTATAAAAAATATATAAATTTTATGTATTAATTAAATTTCATACATGAATATAGGTTTTTGACATTCTTGACAGTGAGGTTTTTAACGCGACGGTTTAAACCGTCAAAAACTGTCACATGTCAAAAACCTGCCAACCCTGCTAAAAAGCAAATGCTGCATATGTATACATTAATGTGTAACAAAAATAAGTGAACTCTTTTCTCACAGCCTAAATACTGTTCAATAGTTAAAAAATTACAATAATAAACTTTGCGTATCCAGGAGATATATGCAAGTCTGACAAGAAAAGACTGTCATTGTAGAAAAAATAACAGTGTGCTTTTGTGCTACACAAATGCAGAGGAACATAAAATCATAAACCCACACTAAAACAATATAAAAGAAAGCATTCATTGTTTAACAATCCAACAGTATTACATTTCGCACAAAATCCGTTCAACATAAATTTAACAAGGTACAATACAACAAAATATTAACGTAAGTTTATGCAGATAGCAATGTATAATTAGTTTACTTTTACTTAAAGTAATTTGATACTTTTTTATTATATCTCTCTTACCCTAATATAAGAACTAAAGATATAAGCAAGATGAATAAAAAGGTTGCAAAAAATATAATTTTTTTCCCATCAAAAAAAGTAATGTTAACTAGATTATTTTGCAATACATGAGAGATAATAAACTGATGCATTGTTTTAAACTCAGGTTTTTAAATGCGCTATTCCTAACTCTTTTGCCGAGAAAAATAAAAATGCGACATTGAAGAGTATTTTAAATGCAAACTATTCAAACTATTAAAAACCCGTTTCAAACAAAAATTCTTGATTAATGGAATGAAGAGCAAACCTCTAGTCTATCTGTCCTTTGGAGCTTTTGGGCGGCTGTCATCAAAGGCGAAGGAACTAAACTGAGTTGAGATGAGAGGGCATCTGCTGGCAGGAGGCCGGTCATCATTGGAGTATGGCTCAAGTACGGACTGAAGGTGGACGCCATTGCGGGCAAATAGGTTGGCGTAGTAGTTGCCTGTAAGGTAAAAGACAAATTTTTCAATAAGAAATTCAAATACAACAAAGAAAAAGAGATTTATTTGTCAACAGAGGAGACATTTTTAGTCTATGTAGGTACATAACATAGGTGTTGTGGTAATAGGTTCTTGCCTTTTAATGGAAAAGAACCAAGTAATTTTTTATAGATCTACATAAGTTTGGCAAGTTTTATAACTTTGACTAAACAAAAATTTCAGGAAAATAAAACTTTAAATGTTACCACTAAAACTCGAAATGCAGAATCAAGAGTGTTGTCCTTCCCAGGGAAGGACTACTATGAAGTTTTTTTCCTCTTAGTACAGCCAGCTGGCGTTCTATTTTTTAATTTGCTGCTTTGTATTTGTCTGCTTTTTGTTAATAATCCTTTACTTTCTGTTTGAATCTCGATCTCCACGGACTACAAAGGGTTTTCTGCACTTTATCTAGGTAATGTGCATAATTTGATATATGCTAGGTAATGTGCTTAGTTAGTAATATGGTTTCCATATTACTAAAATTCAAAAGTTAGTTTCTCTAATTCTTTCAATTGATTTGTTGATTGTTCGATTGCATTGACTTGATTCTTTAGACGTCATAAAATAAGTAAATGGCATAAGTTAATTTCCTTAACTGTAATAATATTTTAAACTATTTGATTTTTTTTTATCACAGTTTTTTAAGTGACTAATTCTATCAACTAGAGTGTTGTAGTAGCTCGATTTTTCAGATAGCGAAAAATAAATAAATAACATTGCTAATTTAAGCATACTTAAATGCTGCTGTCGTTTACAATGAAGATGTTAGATTCACTTAAACAAGTGCCCAGTAGTAACGTGTGGCACTTTCATAGATCACCCTAGTTTCATCTGCACATTAACCACAGTTTGTCTACGGTAAGAACTACCTTCACCATTAAGCCTGAGGCCATCTGCTACTGAGGAAACAAGAATGGCGCATTTCAAGAAGGGTAATTTCTCTTCATTCTAGGGTTAACACAACTGGCCGAAGAAAAATATTCCTTTTCTCTCGCCAAAACATGTCCTAAACAATGATCCAACACCTCTACTTGAAATAGTTATACCTAGTTACCATAGTCACCGCTATGGGTCCAGACGAATAGCTAGGGAAGTTCTTACTTTAGGCAAACTATAAATAATCTGTAAAATAAAAGATTTCTACACTTTAGCAGTAACATATACTACATATTGATTTCATATTAAGTTTTCTTGAAGATGAGTATGGGAGACTATAATACTACAATTCCAGATTTCATTGTGGTTATTTCTTAATATCAAGACTCACAATTAGTTCATTTTATTGTCAACTAAAATCTATTCTTAGGATGTCAAATATTCCCATATGAAATCATTATTTTGAGCATGATAAAATATATTATATTTCCGTCACGAAATGTATGACAATAAAAAAAGGTCTGATTAGCAATATTTAAAATTGCATGCAACAATAAATCTTAAGAACAAAACAAAAGTAGCATGCAAGAGTAGTTTAAGAGGTGTGGGAAAACTTTTCACTGAACTAAATATCTAAACATTAGAATAAATTTTAAAATGGCAAATAATTCTAGGTGAATGGCAATTATGGAAAAAAGAACATGCAGAAAGAAAAGCTAAAGAACTAAAACATTTCATAGCTACTGAATTGAATGTTTATTCCAAATAAAATCTAGTTTTTTAGTGTGAATTCAAGCTGACATTTTGTTTTTTCAGGTCTGGAAAACGTACAGTTAAAGAAAGAAAGGTGTATTATTGAACTAACAGGAGTTAAGTAGAGCTGCATGTTGAATTAACAGAATTTCTTTTCATCATTTATTGAACAATATTTATGACTTCTTAAGATTGTTGTCTTCTAAAATTAGAAAACTATAAAATGCAACAATTTTGTATAAAAAAAATATGGAAAATTACTTTTAAATTTGGCTACATGATTTGCGAATGGAATAAAAAAAAAACAATTTGTTGTCGATAAATATTCTTAGTGTAACGTATCCAAAAATAATATTTTAAAACTAAAAAATAGATTCCCGAAATAAGCTAGCTACTGTCTAAAAATGTGTCTTTTTTATTGAAGTTAAAAAACGGCATGTTTTTGCTATATTAATGTACAGAAATAGTTTTGTACAAAAGAAAAATTGGAAATAATTCGAGCATCGAATTTTGTGCCCCAGACCAGTTCATATGTTCATATATATGTGTGTGTGTGTGTGTGTGTGTGTGTACACAAACATACATTGTGGCTTACCTAGAAATTTTATCCTTCTGAGTTTGCCCCATTGCATGAAATTTTTTTAGTTTTTCATGTGTTACTCTAGGTTTTAGCTAAAATTTGAATATTTTGGCCAAAATACGAACACTGTTCTTCGAAATTAAGAATAGATTTAAACAGTGGGACACACATTTAAAATTGGTGATATTAAGATAAACAAATATATTCTATGTTTCCAACACTTGATATATAAATATATATATAGTGACGGTGAATATTTTCCGTTAGTAGTTTACCTTCTTGTGGAGATCAACAACAAATAAGAAAGAAAAGTGCACAAAGTGGTAAAACTATAAATTTAAAATTTTTTTTCTTCTTCTTTTGAATGAACCAGTTCTGTTTTCTAAATAAAAAAGAAGGATTAAAAAAAAATAAAAAAAAGCTAGTTGGAATTTTAAACAAACTGATTCAATGCAACCTTCTATAAATAGTGTTGAAAATTAAATATCAATAGAAACATTGTTTTACCATTACTTTCAAGCAAAGGACGAATTTCTGCACATTTTTAATTTTTTAAATATTATTTTGTATCTAATTCTTTAGTAGAAATCTATTCACATAAATAGATGTTTTATTTGTAAAAGTAGGGATAAATATAACAATATTGTGAACATATACAAAAAAATTTGTGTATACAAAATTATATGTTGGGTTATTATTTTTATTAAAATATCAAGCAGAACTATAATATATAACAAGCAGAACAATATTGAACTATAAACAAGCAGAACAATACTACTTTCAGAGTCAAAGTCAGTTCTTGGTGAGTAAGATTAATCAAATCTACAAATGGGTGAAAAGTGTGGGGGAGGGAGGAAAACTACTTGGGTTAACCAAAAATTAAAAAAAATAATATTTATAAAAAAAAAATCATGCAATATTCAGGAGGAAAAACAATAATTAAATTTCACCAAAATAAAAGTTTATGAAACGGTATGATCAGGAAGCTAAACAGAAGGGGAAAGTGCAAAAAAGAAGAAACACATACTGACTTAAAAAGGAAGCATATAGTCTATCTAAAGAATTCCACAGAGTCTGGAGTTGTCTGTTGCTATGGAAACAAGAAAGAACACATTTTAGAAAGAGAAGCTCTTTGATACCTTTCTCATTGCCCCTATCAACACTTGTCCACCCCTAAAATAGTTCTATCTTGTAACCATAGTGATGAACCAGACCCCCAGATGACTAGTATGATGAGTTCTTTAGATAGACAGACTAAAAGTAACTTACCTAATAACTAATGTTTGTAGAACGATATGTGTCTAATAATTATTCTTCAAATTCGATGGTTAATAACACCTAGCATACATTAAATTAATTTTTTTGATTATCAGGTATCGGGTGTTAATGATATATGCATTCCCCCCCTTTTTTTTAAAGTATTTTTGTCTATTTTTTCTTTCTATATATTCATAGTTTAAGACATTTTATTTTGAACTCTTTTTTTTTCTTTCTTTCCAAATCATTTCTTTAATGAATTTTGAATGATATTTTTCATTTAGAAGACATTTTGCTTGTGAATTAAATTTTTTCCTTATAAACTTTGCATTGAATCTACTAATTCCAAACATGCTCCGATTAACTTTTGGACAAAAGACAATATTTCCAATTAAAAAATGTCAAAAAATATTTAATAATGCAGTTGACACTCATTATAACCAGCCCTGTGGTCCAAACGCAAGCGTTATAGCATGAGGTTCCTATATTGTAACTACATAAAATTATTGTAAATATTTACATTTATTTCATAAATATAGGGTTCGTTTTTGCATAAAACATGCAGCACTTTAAATGAATTATGAAACTGACTAATACACAGTTTTTTTTTTGTCAAAAGTATTATTTAATATAGTGCATTAAAGGGTAAAAATACATTTAAATATTTTCAAATTATATCGTTTAATATTGCCCATTAACTTTAGATATTCATTCTGTGTTTTTTCTAGATTTTGAAATTATGTTACACAAAAATGTCATTAAGTTAGCACATTTTGTTCTTCTGCCTTTAATTAAAAATTAAAATTGTATCACAATTTTTGAATATTGTAAACTAAGCTCCTCTTGGGATTTTGTATAATTTACCAATTTGTGTTACTCTTCTATCTACTTCCTTTAAAATTTTCAAATTTCAGCTCTAAGTATATACTGGTTATAAAACGCATAGCTTTACACTGGTTAGGAAAAGCCATTTACACTAAATAACATACGTCCAGAGATTGAGCGAAACTAAAATTTTAAAAAAAAATGTGAATAATATCACGTGTTTTAATTCTAAAATAAATCATATCTTACAACACTTCACAAAAAGAGTGAATACAATTTTCAAATTAAAAAAATATGATCGAGAAATAATAGTGAACTTTTTGAAAAGAAATTTTGAAAGGTTATGATTATGCAGGAATTTTCCGTTTAATGTCAATAAACCTTTACTTTCTGTCTTAATCTCGATTTCCACAAAACACAGTTGGCAGCATAGCTGTGGCTTTGAAAATTATAAAGCAGAAAAAGTTTCACTAAGTTTTGCTGTGATCTACATTGTTTAGAGTCCATTATGAATAGAGACCAGCCACGCATTCAACTGCTTAACAGTGAAAACTTCCATCAGTGGCATATAAAAATTAAAGATTTGTTAACTATTAAGAAAATAGCCAATGTGCTTATCGAAGCTCTTGTTGACGCAAAATTACGAGAACAATGGGCACTGAATAATGATAACGCTGTAGCGTATATTCAACTTTCATTAACACTCTAGTGAAAATTTCGCACTTGCACTTACCGCTGAACAACATCATGTAAATTCTAGAGCTACAGGTAAAAACCAAACAGTTTTCATCCTGGTTTCCGGTGCTACTTAACACATGACAGAAGACTTAAAATTTTTTTAGAAACATAAATAATGTTAATGAAAAAATACATTTAGCAGGTAAGAAGGCAAATTTAATTTCTAAAGGTATTGGTATTGTAAAAGCTACTATAACAGTTTATAATTGCATAAAAAATCTAACTATATGATGTTACATATGTACCATATTTACAAAACAATTAATTTCAGTATCTAAATTAATTGATAGGGGTTATAAAATTGAATCTAATGGTACTGATATTTTGAATTTAAGAAATGACAATCACATTGATTTAAATGTTGTAAAAGTAAAAAATCGTTTTGAAGTTTTAATGGGAATGAAAACAACATTTCACCGAATTTTTTTTAACTATAATGATGTAAATAATTCTTAGTTAGAATGCAATGAAGTAAGTCATATGGATATTTATATTTGGCATAAAAAACCTTTAAATCCACAATACATGGTCAAAATGAAATGCTTTCTTTAAACTTTAAAGAAATTTTAATTAATACACCTCCTTCCTTACAAATACAAAAATGCAATTGCATGTCTAACTTTGTCATTTCTACATAAGACAGAATTTATAGCATTCTAATACAGATTGTGCCAAATTAAATTAGTAGTATTGTCAAAGAATTTACAGTAAACTTTTTTAACTTTGAGTAAGGTTTACAAGAGCGCCTAGTTCTCCTGTGTTTAGAAACAAACAATCTATTATTTTATAATATTGTGTTTTGCTCACAAAAAAAAAATCTCATGACATATTTACAACACACACCAGATTTCTTGAATATATGAATAATAGTTTTTGAAGCATCTGAATCGATAGAAGCTTCTTGTCAGTTAATTGCACATGAAAACGTAAAAGACTTTATTTCTAAACATAAAAAATTTTCTAATCATAAGGGATTACAAATTAGAAAAATGTATAGCAGGAAAAAAATGACTATCAAAAAATTTGACTGTTCTATAATGTCAGAAAATAATCAAATAATTAATAATAACACTTGTTGATTCAAAGAATTTAAATACCATTGGTACACTGTCTATAAATATGCAGCCACTTATAGGTTTTTCCGTCTACAAGTAAACAAATATCACATGACCATTAAGCTTTACCAAGGATTACCGCAAAACTTATTTTATAGTACTACTTAAATATCTTACCAAGTTGACTAGCTTACATTTGGGGCAATATATCCGATTCAACTCAAACAAGCAGCCACCTTTTTTTTGGTTTATGGTAAATCACACAAGAACTGACTTTTCCTCCGATTGGCTGCTCTATATAAAATACTCACCTTCAGAGCATTTGAGTTCATTAAGTTCAAAGCAGCAGCACATTGTTGCTGTTGCTGTAAATGCTGCTGCTGCTGTTGGGCCAGTTGGCTGTAGAGAAGACCACTTACCACTGCAGTGGGCAGTTGGCCTGTTAAGAGAGGCTGGAGGGGTATCTGCTGCAGCAAGGCATTCTTTAAAGCGAGGTGATTTCTGCCGTTAATCAAGAGCTGATCTTTCAAATGTTGAGGAGGATGAAAGTACTTGCAAGGAGGCTTCTCCCGATTACACCTTCCCTAAGGACAAAAAGAATAAATTATTTATTCAGAAATCAGAATTAAACTACCTAGATAACAATATTTTTATCACATATTTTCCTAATGCAGGGTATCTGCTACATTTTAGATTTTCAAATTCATGTCTTTTCTTGACTCATCCCAAGGATTTTTCACGACTTAACAAAGTTACTATTTTCTCGGACAAAAACACAACAATAAATTTAAAAAAGCATTATAATAACATTAATTGAAATTATTGGTATAACCAAAACTGTTATACTCTGCATCTTTATATTTATTTATTTTAAATTTAAAAAACAGAGTAAAGAAAGTGTTGAAGCAATAAAATAGCTGAGCAAATATTTTTTTTCTTTTTAAAGAACATAATACAACATTTTATATTTCAATAAAATATGATTGCGAGTGGGGATTTTGTCACAAATTCAGATATTCCGAACACCAAGAAATTGGGGGAGGGGGTAAATTCTATTTTAAAAATTAAGAATCTGCCATCACACGCTGGCGAACATTCAACACTTAGCTAACCTTACATTTTATTTATGCTGTGGTACTAGTTTTGTTAAATTTTTTTAGGCTTACGACCTGTAAGAATTTTGTCTATTTACAAATGAACAAAGAACCAATAACATAAAGGTAAACAATAGTTTTGATAACCCGAAGGTGACGTCATTGAAGATCGCAAAGTATATCATTGAAACCAGAAATAGGATTTCAGCAAAACTAAACAAAACCAAGGATGGACCAACCAAGGCCTAGAGCCATAAAAAAGTTTTAAAAAATAGTATAAATCCTAAAATTTACTTCCTGTTGAAAGTTACCAATGAGCACACAAGGTTGCATATATGTATCATAAAAAGTTATTTTACTTTCAGATATCAAAATACAGATAAAAGGCAAAATACGAGCAATTAAGGGATTCATAAAAAGTTTATGATTCATATTTACAATTTAACTTTTCATCCTTTGTATCCCAGAAAGGTCTAAAAGGCTTAAAATAGTTTACAAAAAAGATTAGCTTATAGCTTGCATAGTGTAACCAAAATACTTTATTTACGTTGCTGTTGTTGTTAATTTACGTCGCACTAGAGCTGCACAAAGGGCTATTGGCGACAAAGGATGATCCGAAGCCATGACATCACAATTTTGATCTTCTGCGGCGTTGATGGCACCCCTGCTTCGGTAGCCCGACGACCTGCGCGCGAATTCAAGCACTTTACGGTAGCACAGTTCAACGAGGACCAATACCGCACACCCTCGGTCCCTACGCAGATTGATCCAAGTGGTCACCCACCCGCACACTGACCGTAGCCAGTGATGCTTGACTTCGGTGATCTGCTGGGAACCGTGTCCTTATTTACGTTGCACAATGGGTTTTTGGCGATGGTCAGGAAACATCCCTGAGGATGATCTGAAGACAAGCCATTACAATTTTGATCTTATGCAGAGGGGATTGAAAATCCGACGATCTAGGCGCTATGCCGAGCAATTTACGGTAGAACAGTTTAACAACGACCAATATCGCGCACTCTCGGTCCCTACGTAGGCTGATCAAAGTGGTAACCCATCCGCTTACTGACCGCAGCCAGTGAAACTTGACTACGAAGTTTTGCTGGGAACCGTGTCTTTACGATCAGTCCACTACGAGACTAAAAAAAAGAAGAAGGGGGGGGGTGAAAAGGACAGCAGACAATCACTTCACCAACAGCTCAATTTGCCTATCGATCACTTTGCAGACAGCTTATTTCAGTCATGGCCACTTCACCCACTAATCATTTCGCTGTCACGATCATATCAAATATTTAACTTATATTTCCCATTAAAATATCTTTATTTAATGTTTTCGTCTTTTGCTTTAAAAAACTTTTTTTTTTTTTTTTTTTTTTTTTATTTTTNTTTTTTTTTTTTTTTTTTTTTTTTTTTTGTATTTAACAGGGTTCGTAGCCAAATTTTTCAACAAAAAATAAACACCTTTTAAGTACTTTTAAAGCACTCAAAAACTATTTTTAAGTGCTATACAGATTAACAAAAATGCAAAATAATTTTCAAATTTTACATGATCATGATAAAATAACTAGTTTCTGACAAAGAACTCTAATCCTGATTATATTAGCCGTTATAAAATGATCAAGAGGTTTCTCGGTTCGATATCAGAGGGTGGAAAATGAAGACCGAAATTGTGTATATTGTAATATGCAGCAGAGTAGCACACGAGAGTGCAAGAATCTCAGCGAACCCAGCTCAGTAGACGCACATGCGGACTCATCAACTTGAACTTGATGTTGTTCATTTACGTTGCACTAGAGCTGCACAATGGGCTATTGGTGACGGTCTGGGAAACATCCCTGAGGATGATCCGAAGACATTCCATCACAATTTTGATCCTCTGCGGAGGGGATGGCTCCCCCGCTTCGGTAGACAGACGACCTGCGCGCGAAGTCGAGCACTTTACGGTAGAACAGTTTAACGAGGACCCATGCCGCACACCCTCGGTCCCCTACGCAGGCTGATCCAAGTGGTCACCCACCCGCACACCGACCGTAGCCAATGATGCTTGACTTCGGTGATCTGCTGGGAACCGTGTCTTAACGATCAGTCCACTGCGGGACACTTGAACTTGAACTGAAGTTATTTACGCAGTACCTGTCCGCGAAGCGGACACTTCACTGCTTCATCGAAGTTAGCGTGGGAGCCTAGAATAATGTCCTTAGAAAAGAAATTTGAAGATGGCTTGGAAGAGGACTCATCAAACATGCACATTTCCTCAAACATGTAAAATGAATGGCGCTTTCATACGCTGTAGACCGAGGTTATGCCAAAATGGATTGTGGTTGAATAAATTATGAAATTATTGGATAGAACAAAGAGAAAAGCACACCTTTGCATTATCGTTGGCGAAAATCGACATGGTAAAGAAAAAAAATCTCATTTCTGAAAAGGGAAAATAGGCACATTTTAAAAATATCCAGTGAAAAAAGCACCTTTAAGGACTTTTAAAAAACGAAAATCAAAAATAAGCACTTTTAAGAACTTTTTAAAAACGCTACGCACCATGTTTAATGTGTGTGTTGATTTTCAAAGCAAAAGTGTAATGTTGTGTTTTTCAAAGCAAAAGATTCGATTATACAGTAAAGGAAATTCGTCAGAAAAATTTAAATAAAGTTGACTTGGTCATGCCGGAAATCTACTACAATAAATAAATCACCTGCAACAACTAACTGTTAAAGAGTCTTTTCGGAGAAAATGGTAAAAATTTGGACGGTCTGACGACTTCGTGCATTGGATATCAGGGGGAGGGAGAAACTTAAATAATTTTAATTAGGCAATAGATTTATTATTTCTAATTGAATGAAATGAGACCTATCCCAAGACGATTAGATAAAAACGATTTTATGCACAAAAAGTTCAATTTTATACTTGCGTCTATTTATTCCCAAGATTTCCTTTCCCGGTTCTGCATCAATTCATCGAGCACAATTCGTCGAAATAATGCCCGCAACGCATTGTGCCTACGACGAATTGTCAACGCGACGAATTGCGCCCACGACGAGATGTCGCCTCGACGAATTGCGCGCGATAAATAGTTCCACGACTAATTGAGTGCGAATTGACGCGACACCTTCTTACCTTAAACTTAACTTTTTTTTTTTAAATTTTTATATTAATTTTGATTCAACTAGTAATTTTTTTTCTTAACTTTTTATAAACTTTTTTTTTCACATTAAAAAATTTTTGAAAATAATTTTATTTTTAATGTCTAACGCAAACATCGCTTGTACCTTTCGTGTCAACTAAAGTAAGCAAATGATAAATCTCCTCCCCTTCCGTTAGGTGCTAACGTAATATTTGAACTGACACTATGTGTAATAAAAAAAAAATAATACTAGAATTATTTTCATAGAAATAATTGCGTTACGTTTTGTTTTTATATTTGTTCTTAGTATTTAATACTGGTATAAAGTTAATACTAATAACATTTAAATAAAATAACCGTATTATACTAGTATTAAATACTGAAGAACTTTAAAATGTTGCTCTTCAGTATTTAATACAGGTATAAAATTAAGTAATTAATATGTACTTTAAATAAAAATAACTGTATTACTATACTAGTATTAAATACTGAAGAACAACATTTTAAAGTTTAATTTCCGCTTATACAGCTAAGTATAAAAAGAACGATAATTATGTAAATAGAAAAACAGGACTAATAACAGGAAGCAAAAGTTGCAATTATTACTGACCTTCAGCCAGATTACAAAAAATTTATAAATTGACTTTTCTGTTTAGCATAAATGAAAGATATATTCAGAAGCAGTTTTATAGTTTTATAAATACATACATTTAAAATTAAGGCACAGGTATAACGGAAGATATTCTCAATAACATTAATAAAGAGTCCAAATCTTCGACCGCTCATCTAACTGAGGCACTCATGTGCCATGTATATAAGGAATGTTACCATTTTAAAATTTCATACCTCATAATTTGGTAATCCCCCCCCCCGTTAGATATCTCAATAGGGGCCGTTCCATTAATGATATCACACTTTTTTATTGTTGACCCCCTCCACCCTTTTGTCACTAAGTGTCACAATTCAGCATACCTACTAGTCACATGTCACACTAAATTACACATACTAATTCAGAAGAAAAAAAACACATGTTACAGATTACATTTCATGTTTTGTTTCTTAACTTTGAGTTTAATGACATTAGTGAGGATAACAGCAATAATAGTTAGATGTGTACTTATTTTGATGACAAAAATGAAATAAAGTGATTATATATAATGTGCTGATTTTAAATTATTTAATTTTAACGGAAATTTGTATTGTCACACTTCTTGTCCCTTACCTTTGTCACAATTTAAAAAACCCCTCCCCTCTAAGATTTATGGTCGGTCCCATATCAAACGTTAAATATAACTTGCAAGTTAAAAGAAACTAAATAATAAAATTCAGATGGTTTTAATTAACGATAGAATAAAGTTGCATACATATTTTAATAAGAGAAAGCGAAGAGCGATAACATTTTAAAAACTTATACAAACTATCATTTCACAATTATATAAAATAAAATTAAGAAAAATTACTGGAATAAGAAAATATTTTTCCTTTTTGAATATAAAACTGACTTTTTGGTGATAAATTTAAAACTAATCCGAAAACCATTGGTAATCAAATTAAATACTCATTTAAATATGCCAATGATGTCCGCGTGATAATATCCTTTTCTTCAGTGGATCGATTGGTCTGGGTGCGCGAATTCCCGGCGCCATCTTTTGCCCGGGGTCCAGCAGGGCGCGACGCACCGACGCCCTTTACTTTAAGGGGATATCCGTAAGGAAATAGCCACAGCACCAAGTTTTGAAACAGAAAGCGCCCCGGCTACAGTTTGGATTATGCAGACGACTTAGAGGATCGATGATTTCGAGTGTTATTTTATATGACAGATCCTAAAATGTCTCTCCCCCTCCCCCATTTATTCAAATCCTAAAACTTTTTGGAAGATTTAAAGTAATACATAAAATATCTGCAACTAACAAATTCACCTACAACTCTTTTACAGCCCTCGCCGTCACGTCTGTAATTATTTACCTATTTTCTTTCATTCACTTATAATGAACTAAAAATTTTAAAAATTACGTTTCACAAGTGGGCAACATGGGGAAAAAATAGTTCGAACACACTTAAAAGCTGAGGCGCATCACTTTCGAAAGGCGGAGGATTTTTGGTGGTGATAAAAGTTAATTGGTGAAATGATTGCGCCCTATGTTTTCCGTTCTAGGTGCGGTAGGATTTCCACTTGAAAAACGTAATTTTTTTTTAAATTTTATTTTATTTCATTATTAATGTATGATAGTAAATAAATAAAAATTATAGGTAAATCTATGTTTACAGACATTTATGCACTACTTTTATGAACTAAGAATGAAATTTTAACTTTTTTTATTTTATTATTTTTCTTACCTATACATTTGTTTTTGTTAGCTTATATCGGAAAGCAGTCGAAATTTTGATCAGGATTAAAATTGAGTCAGATTTCGTTTGCAACATTTGAAAAACAGTTGTAACTTGTTTTTTTCATCAAGCATTGAATTTCAGTGTTCTAGCTAGTCAGAATTTCGATAAATTCAAATACTAACAGTTAGAAAAATGATTGAAACTTGTATTATCATCAGGAGCGGGGCTTCGGCTAAAATTAGACTTCTCTATGTAATCGGAAAGTTACTTGTAATTCGAGTGGTGGAAAATTCTCCTTTACGATAATATCGTCATAAATTCTGTCTGTTCCGCTAAGGAAATCATTGGCACTTGCATTCATTTTCATCACGCAATGAACTCCAATACAGATTTAAGTGCTCTAGATACTTATAAAGAAGTCGAAATTTTGATAATAAGATTCCATTTCACAACAACAAAAAAACCGCGTTAATGAAAATGTAGTAAAAATTAATAATTAGGATAAAATCAAGAAAATTGATAATTGAGTTTGATGTGATAAAATTAATCTTTTATATTATAGAATAAAAATGTTTGTGCATTTCGATAAAATGTTGAGCGAAAAAAAAGCAACATCTAATGATTATCATCTGCTTTTCTGATCAAAATTGTGGTAGTGTAATGTGCCAACATGCATCACTAGAGGATGAATCTCGTCTTATAGCTTATTAACATAAGCCTAAAGCATTAACGTAAAATATTAAATTAAATACATTAATTCCTGAATTTCTGAACCCAACACAGAAGACAAGGGAATTCCTTCTCGATCAAAAATTGAGTCAAACTAGCCTGGGTGGAGGACTTTTTGAAGGAACATTTGTGTTACATGGAACGGAAAAACACGAAAATTTCCCACGATTAGATCAATTGCAATGAGATGCTAACCTATGATCATTGATGCTGGTTAATTTCAGCACTGTAGTCGGTGCGACGCAAGAACATAATTCGTTCGGATCAACCATTGGTTGAATTCGAGCCTGGGTCAGCTCTACGGCAGGCGAGCATTATTACGGTACGAGCATTACGGCAGGAGAGCAGAGGCAGGCTTTATCCTCTCAGTCACCGTGGCTCGAAAGATAGCAATAATCCACCAGAACAGTATAAATAATAAAAAAGAGAGAAATTAAGACAGAGTGCACAATGTAATGAAGTCAAGTTCACCAACATGTAGACACAACGCTAGATTCTGGTCACCGGGTTCCGACAATGCACATAGTTATATCAAATACGCAATATCGCGATCATAATTGATAATTATCGATGACAAAACATACGACGAGGATACCCAAGTCAAAATTCATGATGTCCCATCAAAAAATTTTGATAATTTATGTTGGTTCCAGTGTGATTTATGATGGTCCAGGGGGAAAAGGGGACTTAGCCCCCCTAGTAAATAAATGGTTTTGAAAAATTAGAATGCTTAAAGCATTATCTCATAACCTTGAAATTTATAAAAACTCTTTTTTCCAACAAATTTCATTCTTATTGCACCTGGATAATTCAATGTCTTTACATGTCATCAATCTGGTTTTCCATCAGGCAAAAACGGAGTTAATGGACAACGAGTGATGGACCCTCTTAAGTGTTACATTTTCTTTGTAAACATCTGCCTCAAACTTTGTTGACATTCAAAGCCAGGAAAGCAGTTTCACCGGTTCCGTTATGTAACGAACTCAACTTGTTTTTTCGTGTAAGAGGAATCAAAAACCATTATTTGTTCAGATTTAAAACGAAGTTGATGGAAAATATTTACGTTTCGGCTATGAACTGGAAAAACAGTAAACAAAATGAAAAGATTATACACCTGCAGCAATGGAATCTTAAATAATCAAGAACTTACTTTAATGGAGTCGTAGCAGGCGATGACCCTTCCGTTCTGGACTTCGACGTGTGAGGGAGGGTGGGCAAACTTGCAGTCGGTGTCTGATCGAGTGCACTTGTTCCTTTGGAACTCCCGGCATACTTCCAGCTGGAGCCACCGGGAATCTTTGATGGCTGCCAGGCTGCTCACCATGGCCATCGCTTCATCATCGACAAGGACGGATAGCTGCAATGTACATTAAAATCAATAAGTTTAATTACTTTACTAAGATAAAATATAGATTAGTGACACAGTGGTTAAGGCTGTCATTGTGAAGATCTGGGGTTCTATCTTAGATGGCAACTTCAAAGCCAAGTAGCTACAAATTGATGAGTATCAATCAATGGTTCAAAGAGTCTATGCTAATTAATAATTGCTAACTATTAATTAAGTAATAAAATTATTTACTAAATATATGCATTTAATAATACTGCAGATAGAGGTAATGATGTTGTGAAGATCTGGGGTTCTATCTTAAGTGGCGACTTTACAGCCAACGAGCTTCAAATTGATGCCAATCTCAATGGTTCAAAAAGTTGACCGAAAATGTGCTACAATTAATTAGTGTTAACTATTAATTAAGTTACGGAATTATTTTATGGTAGATAGATGAGTCACGGTTGCACAAGGCACTGAGCTGACATTGTGAAAATCTGGAATTCTATTTTAGGTGGCGATTTTTGAGCTAATGGTTTAAAAATTTGGCAGAAAATATGCTATAATTAAATAGTGCTAACTTGTAATTAAGTTGCGAAATCAGACACAAAACATACTCTCTCTCTCTGTGAATAAATATAACTTTTTTTAAACATATTTTAATATTTGATCGTCGAAAGATACGTAGTTAGTTGCAATCTTGAAGATAGAGACCAAATAGTTTCAGTCAGTAAAGCAGTCTGATTGAGACCCTTAGTGTTAATTTCCCCTTTTATGTTTTTTGCCGTATCTCAGGAACTTTTTAAGCAAATCGAAAAAAATTTGGAAAAAATTATAAAATCATTTATCAGATTTGAACGACTTTGAATCGTTCATTACTTTTTACTATTTAATTTAATAACGGTTAAGCTTTGATTTTAAAATTGAAAAAAAAAACATTTTTTTTTAAATTTTATTTCTTAAAAGCTATTAACCGTTTAATAAACAAATGATTTATTCAATTATTCAAAATTACTTTGACCGGGAATTATCTCAGGATAAACGAATTTATAGTCGTGTGTAAAAAGTTTTCGATTCGCTTAGAATAAAGTTTCCGAGATTTGGCGAAAAACGCCAAATTAGGAACTTCAACTGCCGATCCCTATTGACTAAAGCTAATGTGATCATATATTTCATAGTGCGGCTAACCGCTCATATTTTAATTATGAAGAATCCAAATGCAGAGTTCAAAATTAACGATGGTCAGTTGGTCGGAGACCACTGAAATTTGACACGGACCCCCATACGATAATTATTAGAAGCACCCCGGACAAGTAATTAATGTAAAAGGATGGCATGTTTTGTTTTTGTCTCCCATTTTTGTTTTTATGGCTTGGGTGTGTTTTTGTCACAGAATATTGTATTTCATCATAACCAATTCCGGTTTGCGTAAAAGCGGAGCGTACAACACATGAGCGATATTTTTTTGATGACGAGTGAATGTGAAAAAAAGAGAGGTTATGGCCTGATCAATTCTTAAAATGTAGGGTTATGTTTAGGTGGTAATGACATATTTGTGTGAAATGTGTTTATTGCGATTTAATAGAATAAAAATTAAAGTTCTTTTTCAATTGGTTGCTGAATGATAAAAGAAAACTATAAAGAATAAAATTAAGGAATTTAAGATCGTACTGTGTGATAGTAATGATTGACAAAAAGAAGAAAAATAAATAAATATAAAACAAAAAAAGTGGTAACAAAATTGTAAATAGGTTTAATAAACAGTTTCTCCCATTAAAAATCGTAAAAAAATTTATAAACTTATTTAAAAAGAATATAGACTTGTGACCTTATTAATATTTTGAAGTTCTCCCTGGCTGAAAATTAATTAAAAACGAAATTATTTTGCTCTCACTTAAAAAAAAAGAAGAAAAAAAAGGGCAATTACAGGTACAGACAATTCCATATTCTTTTTTTTATTTGATCTTAGAAATTCTGAGAGTAAGCATATAAAAAGAACGATGCATTTCTTTATCGATGCGTGCCAAAATGACTAACTGTCCCACGCGGTTTCAACGCCACGCTACGACAAAGTGATGAACTATCAGTTAGATTGATGAATTGTTTACCGTTTTACATTATTACTTTTAATTCGATGCCTGCAACTGACGTAGTGTGGGTATCTCGATCCTGATTGATTGTCGAAGCATTAAAGTTGCCAGGTTCACAAAACTAAAGTATATTCGGGTTACAATAAAATATATAAACAAATAATAAATTTAAGTAAAATAAAAGAAGTAGACGAGTAAGAATTATATTTCAACTAATTCGATGCGCGATAATAAATTACGATTTATATTAAATATTTTAATTTCTCACAATTTTTCTTGCTCTTAGATTTAGAGTTGACTATGCACAATATGAAACAATTTCGAATCACTAACCGAATTTATATGCACTCAGCCCAATCTTGATTCAACCATTTTGAATGAAATAAAGCATAAAAACTCAACTTTAAAACAATAAATCGCAAAGAATTGTTATTCATTCATTTATGCTACAAATATGACCATCCAGAAATAAACAAAAATACGATAGAGATACTACATAATATACCGTTATCTACTGAATCAACTAGCCGTTTCCGTTAAGTGTCACTAGAGAGCGCTGTTGGTAGTTGGGACGGGAGAAACTCCAAGAAACGCGTCGTGATGACGTCATGATAATTATTTTGCTTTAAAACATCTGAAGTATTACTGGAGTAAATGACTGAGAATTTTTGGTCATAAGTCATTCGTCAAAGAAGCCATAAAGCTAAGTCATGGCGAGTTCACCAACATGTGGGAACATCGCCAGATTCTGGTTAACACAGGTTATCAGATACCGATGATACACATAGGTGTATAGAATACAACAATATCGCTATCATCATCATCATCATATCGATTACGATGATGTCACGATTATTATTGGTAACTATAATAACCAAATACCGTATCATTGTTACAATCATATATTACGCTATCATTGTTATAATTATCGATTACGATAAGATCGATACACTAGTTTTCGGTACCATAACTTATGGAAAGAAATCTCGGGAATATTATACATAACGATAATTATTGAACACGAGATTATTGTGAGTGTTGATAGATTTTAATTAGGTAACGAAAATATTGATCAATGCAAAAATATTATAAATTTGTTAAATTGGATAAATATTGCGATAAGTTGTTAAATATCGACATTTTCTGACATATTAAAATTCGTACTTATCGGTTCTAGGGACGAATGTTCATGCTGGCGACAAGGAAAAACAATTGCCAGCACATGATCTCTCATTCCTTTGACGCAGTTAGGACACTGGTGTCCCTTTTATATATTTTATTTTCTGACGCTCCAATTGGGTATACTATAGCCTACGTCACAGATCGTGTTATTCCTACTAAATTTAACTAGTAAACAGCATTTTCTGCGAACCTGATTTCTAGCAACAAGTAAAAGCATTAAACGAAGCGTCTTGTTTATAAGTCGCTACTCGCCAGGTTGGAATTGGGTATAATATTAAAAAAAACACAACTACTTCCNGATTGGCCTTGATACACGAAACCTTATATAGAATCTCTCATCCTTATACTAGGGTCATGCTAATAATGATTTATATTTCCTCTTATGACAACATGAGGAGAAGTGATTGTGGTTTTGATGGGAAATAGATTTGGAGTAAAATATTCCATTGCTCTCTTTGCTAATATCTTGAATTGTACTGTGGATATTAAGATTTTTGCTCGTTAAATATATTTGATATTTAAATATATAAAGAAACTAATATTGTAATTTTCCTGTTTTCTGCGCAATTAATTAAACACTTCAGTTAGAAAACCTAAATTACATAAAACAGAGATGTTTCGGAGAGATTTTACTTTAGTATTATTTAAATACACAAAATTGCTTTATTTTGTCAAGTTACTAATCCTTTGACGCAGATAAGACATCAATGTTTCTTTCATATACCTTTTTTCTGAATACCCAATTACAAGCAAAAATATATTTTGGTACTTTTTAAATATAAAAAACGGTACTAAAAATATGTTAGATTATCGAAATTATATGTGTACTAAAATAAAAAAAATTCATAAAAAGTAGTAAAATTTCCTGTTCATTCATGTTGAAAAATTTATCAATAACTGATTTTGTAAATTAAAGAATGAATGATGAATAACTGTATCTCATTGGTATAAATACAGTCCCTGGCCAAATTATAAAACGCACTGTAAGATTCTATGTAAAATATTAATGATCAGGTGATACTCAACAGCTTTAGTGTTCATACGCGGCTGAAACCGATTTACACTTGTTTATGTTCGTGTATTAATTGGTTGACGTTATAACGCATTACGTTAAAAATAAATACAAATGGGAAGTATATAAAACATCTCCTCTATAAAAACCCATTACATGTATGTTTAAATATAAGAGTATTGCATACAAACTCGTACAAAACATGTTATTCTTAAAAAACTACAGTGCGTCTAATAATTCGGTCTAATTATTATTATATACTAATATAATACCTGATATAATAAATATTCTATATTTATATAATATATCATCTAATTTATCCAATCGTAGAATTTATATTATATATCGTCTAATTTCACCAATTTATACACGAACATAAATAATTACAAACCGGTTTCAGTTGGGTAAAAACAATAAAGCTGTATAGTATCACCTGATAATTAAGATTTTACGTAGAATCTCAAAGTGCGTCTAATAATTTGGCCAGGGACTGCAACTGCAAATTTGAAAAATTATCGTTTGAAAGTGAGCCGTGTTGCAATATTTTTCTCTTATTTTGACCTAAATTAATACAAAACAGTAAAAAAAAGTACTGTAGTAAAAATTCTGAGTCAAAGGGTTAAAACCGGTAAGTCCTGAGCCTTTTCTCCGCAAAAAGAAAAAAGAAAAAAAAAAAACATCTTTGCAAGCGCACCGTGCTTAAATATTGTGATAACCGCTATGAAAATAAAAGATTAATTTTTCCC